CCCATCTCCCCTTTCCTCTTAAATTCATCCTTAATTCTTCCATTTCCTCCATCTTCCCACTCCATGGCCCCCAGACCTGCTGATCACAGACAGTGAGGATCCAACTGACCCTAAGGGACAGGGCCCAGGTCAGACTGGCGCTGTGGACTCCAGGCTATGGCTTTGGAGACTGATCCCTTCGCTCAGCAGCCCTCTCCCAACCTAGCTTAGGGTCTCTGTTCTCTTCTTGTCCCCGTGCAGGGCCCCCGTGCTGAAGCCATGATGCACAGAGCCATGGAGCAGGGCCAATGGGTCTTCTTCCAGAACTGCCACCTGGCCCCCAGCTGGATGCCTTTGCTGGAGAGACTCATCGAGGGCATAAACCCTGAAAAGGTGACATGCCACAGCTGGGGACATGGAGAGAACTAACCCGATGCTCTTACGTCCCCGCCAAGGGCTGGACGTGCAGCTGGTGTCTCCACTTGCTGAAGTTTCCAGCCTTCAGGACGTGGGTTTCGCACACAGTCTGATGAAAAACCCATGGGGATGGATGACAGAGGTGTGGCAGGATCTGCTTTACGAGGCCACGGGTGCTCTCCAAAGGGGACGGGCAGGGAGGCGCCCACCTTGCTGGAGCCCAGACCTTGCTCCGTCCCATCCAGAGGTTCCCAGTCAAACTGGAGGGTTGGCTCAGGGCAACTGCAGCGGCCATGTCCAACCCTCTCTGCCTTTGGTTCTGCAGGTGCATCAGGATTTTCGCCTCTGGCTCACGAGTCTACCCAGCAACTGCTTCCCTGTGTCCATCCTCCAGAACAGCTCCAAGATGACCATCGAGCCCCCCCGCGGGGTCAAGGCCAACCTGCTCAAGTCCTACATTAGCTTCAGCGATGACTTCTTGAATTCTTGCCCTAAGGTAAGACCCACCTCTTGCTTTGGGCTCCTGCTCCAAAGCATGCTTCCCACCTGCACTCTGTGCAGAGACCTTCCCTCCACTAGAGCTCTCACATGCTGGAGAAGGGCTGGGGATATTTCTCCTCAGCCAGGATCTCCCCTATGAGCAGCCACTTAGAAACTGCACTCCCACTTTGAGAAATAAAGCAACGATATTGCAGAGACCTGGGCTTTCCACCTCCCCAGGTGCCTCCCCCTCATTGGCACTGCTGAACTGGCAAGGTGGCACATGCTGTTTTCTGCCTGCTGCCAGGTCCCGTGGGTACTTACACCATCCAATGTCATGTCCTCCCAAGCTGAGCACTTCTTCTCCCTGCTCCCAGGTCACAGAGTTTAAATCCCTGTTGCTGTCACTTTGCCTTTTCCATGGGAACATGCTGGAGAGAAGGAAGTTCGGGCCGCTGGGGTTCAACATCCCCTACGAGTTCACAGACGGAGACCTCCGCATCTGCATCAGCCAGCTCAAGATGTTCCTGAGCGAGTACGCAGACATCCCGTACAAGGTGAGCGCACGGGCTGGCCCCTTAGTGCGGGGAGAGGGACGTGCCCATAGGAGATGTGTCCCGTGTCCCCTCGCAGGTCCTCAAGTACACGGCCGGGGAGATCAACTACGGCGGCCGCGTCACCGACGACTGGGACAGGCGCTGCATCATGAACATCCTGGAGGATTTCTACAGGCCCGAGGTCCTGATGCCCGACTTTGCCTATTCTGAATCAGGCATCTACAAGCAGATCAGCACCTCTTATGACCTGAATGTAAGTACTGTGAGGGAGTAAAACTAGCAAACAAGCAAAAACCCACATCTTCGTGGATCCAGGCACTACCACAAGTGGTGTCTCCTCCTCTCTGATGCCCGCAGGATTCTAGTTCCCAGGAGGATTCCAGGTTGGTAAAAATCTGGAAATCCTAAACCACTTTCATCCATCTGCATCTGTTTTGAGTAACTGAAGGAAAATGCAACTGTTCTTACAGGAAGGTAGTAACTCCCACCAGATTCGCCCAGCTGAAAGTGTTTGTACTCTGAATCCCTTTGCTGTAACATCAAATTAGATGTTATATCAGATACTTTTAGATCTAGGCCTCTGATGAGCTTTCCTGGAGCCACTGCAAGAAGCTGCTAAGCTCTCCGTTCCCATGGAACATTCTCTCCATCATGAGGGCAGTTTTACTCCCCAGCCAAACCTCACACCACGGCCATGCCCTCCAAGCCTCTCAGAGAGGCTGCTACTGCCTTGGCCTCCCCAGCAGCCCAGGTCCTTCTGCCATCACCCAGTGTCTCTGGACTCACAAAAGCTGCCCCGAGCAGCAGCCGTGAATTCAACACTACCGGCTGTGACGGGTGACACGGAGCTGTCTAAGAGTCAGATAAACAAATCTTGAGCAGAGAGACAAGGAGCATCTTCCAGCGGAGGCTGCAGGTCTGCAGTTGGCTGGAATGAGTATCAAAGAGCCCCAGCTTGGTTATTTCTTTCATGCCACTGCAATTTTCCCCCCATGCTCTTGCCCTCCCAAACTTGCTGTCTGCCTCTCCCCCGTGCCCTCCTCTCCAGGGATACCTCCAGTACATCAAGAGCCTGCCCCTCAATGACATCCCTGAGATCTTCGGGCTCCACGACAACGCCAACATCACCTTTGCCCAGAATGAGACTTTTGCTCTGCTGGGGGCCATTATCCAGCTGCAGCCCAAGACATCCACATCTGGGGGCCGCAGCAGGGAAGAGGTGGGTGCCAAATGTCCCTAGCTGTGCTGCAGCTGCCAGTCTAGCTCACATGCTCCCTTTCTTCCTCCATCCCCTCTTCCTTCTCCCTCTGGCTGATCCCTGGCTCAGGCCCCTTCCCTAATGTCCTTGTGGTCTCACAGATGGGCAGAGATGCTGCCCCATCCAGCCATGTTCCCCATACTCTATCTCACTTTTCTCCACCTAGAGCTTTTTTTCCAAGCAGAACCAAAGGCTTTGAAGTGTTGTCCATGGCCAAATCCATGCAGCCAGAGCGAGCCCTCGCCAGCCCTCCATGGGCAATGCCAACCTCTGCTGCCCATGGGGTGATGGCACCGACACCACCCTGGAGGCACCGGCATCCCCCTTCCCTGCAGTTTGGGATGGGAGGCACTCACCTGCTGCCGTTTGCCTTCCAGCTTGTGGAGGAGATCTCCAAGGACATCCTGGCCAAGCTGCCTCCCCCCATCAACCTGCAGGAGGTGATCCGCAAGTACCCGGTGCTCTACGAGGAGTCCATGAACACCGTGCTGGTGCAGGAGGTGATCAGGTAACCCCGGCAGCACCCAGGACATAGTCCTCACCTTGGGAGGGGACGGTCCCCCGGAGAGACAGGGATGCACAGGTCCCTGCTACCACCTTCCCGCCAAGCATGGCCTTCAGCAGGCACTGTGCTGGGAGCTGCAGCGATGGCTTTGTCATCCCAGCCAGATCCCGCTTCCAGGGCTCTGCGGACAGATACAAGAGCCTCATCCAAGAGGAAAGAAGCTGGAGGCTCTCAGGGAAGAACTTTACTCACTGCACAGGGATCAGTATTCCCTGCAGGAGTCTGGGCAGAGTGCAGCAGGGTGCTAATATCTGCATTGGGTCCCTCTGGTCCCTCCTCAGAGACATCAGCTGTTTCTCCCTAGGTACAACAGGCTCCTGGAGGCGATTGCCCAGACCCTGAAGGATCTGCTGAAGGCTCTCAAGGGCCTGGTGGTGATGTCCTCCCAGCTGGAGCTGATGGCTGACAGTCTGTACAACAACAGTGTCCCCAAGTTGTGGGACTCCAAGGTATGCTCCCCGCGAGCTCAGCCACCTTCCTGTTCCCCTGCTGTGCACCCGGGTAGCCGTCAGGGGCACTAGGTTGGGGATATTGCTGTGTATCTTCAGTGTGGCTGCCCCGCAGGCCTACCCGTCACTGAAGCCCTTGGCGTCCTGGGTCAGCGACCTGCTGCAGCGGATCGAGTTCCTGCAGAAGTGGATCAGCCACGGGATCCCTCCGGTGTTCTGGATCAGCGGGTTCTTCTTCCCCCAGGCCTTCCTCACTGGGACACTGCAGAACTTTGCCAGGAAGTCAGTCATCTCCATCGACACCATCTCATTTAGCTTTGAGGTCAGTGAGTTATCCCGAGTCACTGGATATTTTTGCTGCCTATCCAGCACCTGCTGCTAGAAAACGTGCAGGACACCAAATTCTAGCCATGTCCTACCTGGGAGGTGAAGCCCCCCGGCTGCACGGGGTCTGGCCCCCCTCAGACCCAGGACAGGGCCCCTTTGGCAGCACTAAGCCAAGAACAGGGTCCAAGGGAGGCAAAGGGCTGGAGCCCAGGGACACGGCTGTGATGACAGCCTTGGTGTCACTGTCCTGCCAGGTCCTGAAGGAGTCGGCCAGCGAGCTCACCCAGCGTCCCCAGGAGGGCTGCTACATCCACGGCTTGTTCCTCGAGGGGGCCCGCTGGGACCCCTGCGCCTTCCAGCTGGCTGAGTCACGGCCCAAGGAGCTTTACACAGACATGGCCGTCATCTGGCTCATTCCTGTCCCCAACCGCAAGCCGCCGGCCACCGGTGTCTACCTGTGTCCCATCTACAAGACGCTCACTCGCGCAGGTAGGGCAGCTTGCAGGAGGCACGGGAGCCTGCAGCGGCAGCCAGGCTGCTCTCGCAACTGGTGCCGGGGAGCACTTGTGCTCCCAGCACACCCCGCTACGGAGGAGACCCGGGAAAACCAGGGTGTCACTCGAGGAGGAGCCCAGAGCAGCCAGGCAGCCTCGCTACCCTGCCCCAAGGGCAGCCCTTAGGCCACCCAAGCCTGCTGTCCGTCCTCTGCTCCGCTTGTCACCCAGCGCCGGGATGGGAACGGGGACGTCACACGGGACAGCGTGACCGGGGCTCCCCGCTCTGCCTGGGAGCCATGCCGGGACCGCTCCACCGCTCCCTCTCCTTGCTCTCCCTCTCCCCCTTCCAGGAACGTTGTCGACAACAGGCCATTCCACCAACTACGTGATCGCCGTGGAGATCCCTACGGACAAGCCCCAGCGGCACTGGATCAAGCGGGGCACAGCCCTGATCTGCGCCCTGGATTTCTAGGCACGACACCCGCCCGGGCAGGTGCCATCCCGCTCCCCGACCTCCTCCAGCCCATGCATTACCAATAAAACACCTCGACTCCACCGTCACATCCATCTCTTGTATTTCCCCATGATTATGCCAAGTTTTACCACCACAGAAGAGTTGCCAACGTGCCAGGAACACAGCAGGGCTCTGTGCTCCAGCGCCTGCTGCCGGGAGCAGCGCCCGCACCTCTCCCTTCCCTCACACGCGTCTCCCGTGGGTGGCTGTTACACGACAGCTTTATTCATTCGACAGATCCACTATATACAGCACTTGGTATTAGACACAGCAAGAGATGAGGATTTTCTTCCCCTCAACGAATACCAAGACAGACAGTTTCATTCCACAGTCAAGTCCTGTACAAACCTGCCCCTTTGGCAAACTGTCGTCCCCCTGGCTCTTCCCCCGACCACAGCCGCTCCTTCCGCTGCGTCTCGGGACAGCACCCGAGCGGCACCAACCTGAGGCTTCCCAGCTCCGCCAGGGTGTAGGGAGAGGGAGGAGGAAGCCAGGTGCAGAGGTGCCAGCGGGAGGTTCGAGGCCTGGCGAGGGCGTTGTGGTGTGAAACGGGCTGCTGCCCCCGCCGGGGAGCTCTGCGGCTCGGGCAGCTTTGGAGCGTCCCCTCAGCTCCGGCTTGCAGTCCCCATCGCTCGCCCTGCCTCATGCTTCACCGCAACCACTGTCACCTCTGCCTGCGCTGAAAAGCTCTACTGGGGGCACCAACCTGGCCCAGCTTCCTCCGCAGAGGCAGGTCCGCCCCGAGGAGCCCTGTGACCACACGGCTGCCTTGCGATCCCGGGGACACGAGCAGCAGCCCCGCTTGGCGTGCTCATTCTTTGCTGGGTTTCTCTGGGCTTGTAGCAACCCCAAAGGCATCGCTGGAGCCACAGAGCTGGTCCCTAGGAGAGCAGCCACACACCAGTGCCACCTCGGAGGGGCAGCTGCAAGGCCCACAGCTGCCTGCTCTAGGCAGCGGGGAGGCGGGTGGATGCAGGGCAGCAGTGCTGCAGAACAGGCTCTGTCCAGGAGCCACCTCAGCAACACGAGCCCAGCGTGCCACAACCAGAACATGAACTTGGCGAAGGGAAGGAGAGGATCAGAAACAGCCTTGAACATCCTCGGGAAGTGCAGAGCTGAAGGCCTGGGCACAGGAGGGCACAAGGTGCAGCCCCGCGTCACCGCGATTCCCACCAGGCCACATTCCTCCCATCCTGCCAGGGCCACTGGAATGTGGTCCCCCATGGCCGCATGCAGCTGGGGCACAGCCAGCCGGGCACTCGGAGCTGCCTTTGCTGCAGCTACAGGGGCTCCCCTTAGGACAAGGCATTTCTGCCTTTCACAACTTGGGCTCAGAGGAAAACCCCATTTCCGTTTGCGCCCAGGCTCCCCCTTTACATAACACTAAGGGTGCGAGCACTGAGGATCCAGCCAAGGGCCTCTCACAGGGGGTCCTCTCTTCCTTGGGCAACGGGTAACACAAATCCAAGCGTCACTGCCCAAAGCCACGGGGCCCAGCTGCTTCTCACAGTCTCGACTCCGAGGCTACTGGCGCTTGGCTTTGTATGGCCGGGAGCGTTTCCGGCGGTCCGGCTTCCTCTGCTTGTGGAGGCGTCCGATGCTGACTCCCTGGCGCCTGCGGACGGAGATGTTCTGCTCTACGAGGCTTGCCAGCATGCCTGCGGGGACAAGCAGCACACACGTGCCAGGGAGCGCGCTGAAGGCACCGGCCACGCGCAGAAACTGGGGTGCTCCAGACTGATACTGCCCATGCAGGAGCGCAGCCTCCCTCTCTTACCCAAAACAAATCACCAAGCTCCTTCTGGGACAGTAAAACAAGGAGGGTGCAGAGCAGAGATGCTGCTGTCCAGAACAAGCCCACCAAGCAGCCGCTCGTGCCCCGGGCCCAGGAGAAAGAAGCCCACGGGGAGCTCCCCACACTCCCAGCGCTGCTTCCCAGTTCCACGGCAGCTGGCCCTGAACCAAGTCCCTGTCCCATGCTCACCTTCCTGGGCCAGCATGGAGATGAAGGTACAAATAAACTCGTCGTAGTTGTGGGTTCTCCTCTGGTCATCAATCTACCAAACAGAGCAAGGAGGAGAGCTCAAGACCACCAGCTGTGCCACATGGAAGAGAACACAGCTCATCCCACAGGCCAGGGAGACCGAAGCAGAAAGGGACACGACTCCCAGCCACAGCAGTGCGGCTGAGGCTGGAGCATGAGCAGGCATGAAGAGGGACCATCTCCACCCCAGCCTTGACCGCAGCCTGGCTGCGGCATCGCGCCATCTTCCATGAGCTGCTGCTGCTTCAATTACCTTGAATTTCTTCCTCTTCTCCACCTCCTCCTTCAGGCAGGCCTCGTAGTTTGCGATCTCTGCCTCCACACACTTCAGCAGCGCCAGCAGCTCCTGCCAGGACCAAGCACAGCAAACGTGAGCAGACGGGGCCCTGCCAGGGAAAGCAGCCTGGCTGCGGCATCGCGCCATCTTCCATGAGCTGCTGCTGCTTCAATTACCTTGAATTTCTTCCTCTTCTCCACCTCCTCCTTCAGGCAGGCCTCGTAGTTTGCGATCTCTGCCTCCACACACTTCAGCAGCGCCAGCAGCTCCTGCCAGGACCAAGCACAGCAAACGTGAGCAGACGGGGCCCTGCCAGGGAAAGGGAGCTGCTGGCCGCCACACGGCCCCGGAGCCAGCGGGATGAGCTGGCGGGTTTGCCTCTCTGTGCTGGGAAAGGGATGATTCATCAGGACAAAAGGCTCTGGGCAGGGAAACAAACAGTACTTCATTATGGGGAGTTTCCGAGCTGGAGAATAATCAATCGGGCGGCTCGCAGGCCTAGCCCCAGAGGAGCCTCTTCTGCCTGGGCCCAGCCCAGCACCATGCAACTGCTTCAGAACATGGGGAAGTAACTGCATGTGTGCCAGGAACACCCCAAGGCCTGGTTCTTCTGCTCGAGTTAAAAAAGGACAGAAAAGAAAACACTTGCAGACTTCCCTTAAGTTAAGCAGAAAGCATGTTCCTAGGCAGCCCTCCTCAGGAGGCCTCAACGCGCCTGTGCAGTCCAAGCCTGCTCCTGGCTGGAGACAGGCAGCAAAGCTTGGAACCGGGGCAGATCCGGATGGGCTCTCCCTGACCAGGGTCCTGCTAGACTCGGGCCCAGGAGCCAACAGGACCATACCCAAAAGGACACGAGTCACAAAACCTGCACTGCCCCGTGCCTCGAGGCACGGCTGCTGTGAGAGCCCCTCAGGCCAGCGGGCACGAGCGGTTCGGTCACTGCCAGCGCTGCTGCGGCTCTGGGCGAGCATGGGGAGCTCCACGTTCCCAGGGCTGTCACAGCACAAAACTCACCTTGGGAGAATACTTTTCCCCCCCAGGGTGATCACTGGTCCTGCCAAGTCCCACCTTCTCTTTGCTGTCACTGGCCTCACTGCCCTCCTTCTCTTCCAGCTTGATAGCGACCTGGGTCTCTTCACCGGGTTTGATGGAAGAGGGGGAACCTTTTCCCCCATCTGCGCGCAGCAAAAGGGAGCGTTAGAAGCCGCCACCAAGACCTTGCCCTCGCTGCCCGAGTGCGAGGACACGCTCCCCTCCTGCACCCTGCCTACCTGCAACAGCCAGCGGGCAGAACACGCCGTCCTCGGTGAGGTGCAGCAGGCCCGTGCTGATGATGGGCCCCAGGTCCCGGACGGCGCGGTTGTAGCGCATGCAGTCCACGCGCAGCAGCCCGTCCTCCTCGCCAAAGAGCACCTTGGAGATGTGCGAGGTGACGGGGCTGGACGGGCGCGTGGGGTTGGCCGAGCGGATGGGCGAGCGCAGCGGGGAGTTGAAGGCGCTGCCGATCTCCGAGGCCGTGTCCGTGCTCTCGTTGCTGGGGGTGGGAGAAGGCTGGGAATGGGTGACGACGGCCACGGCAGCGCCGCCGCTGCTTGTCTTGATGGACAGGGGAATGGAAAGGTCCTTTTGAGATTCCTTCAGCTTCTCAGTCAGAACATTGATGGTGTTGGGCTGCAGGACCGAGAGCTGGCCGTCCGCAGACGCCGCCGCGTGCTCTTGCTTTACCTGCCCCTTCCTCTTGTACCTGCCCAGAAACAGAGATGAATAAAGCAAGGTCTGAAACATTTCCAGACGGCTCTCACTGCTACCAGCTGCTCTGACACCCTTCACTCCCACCCATCTGCTTGGCTGCAGGCACTCCTGCAGCTCAGGGAGGCTTGAAAATGTCCAGAGGGCTTCCCATGGTGTGCTGTGCTCCCCCACGTTTCATTCAGAAGCAGCAGCCTCACTGCTATCCCAAAACACCATCACTGTGACCCAATCTGGCCATTAGCACGAGCGAGCCAAGGCTCAGTTTGCAGAAAGGAAGCCCACCAGGTCCTGTGCCCACCAAGGCAGGGTGCACTGAGGATCCTTGGCCACCAGCACCCTCAAACACAGCTCAGACAGCCCCTGCACCTCCAACACAATACAGCAATTTATCGACTACTGGGAGCCCTTCCCTGGGACAACCCACCAGCCCTGCTTGACACAGCTCCACCTATATTACCTGATGGCTGAGTTGGTGTTACGAACTTCCTCCTCCTCGTCATCGTCGTAGTCATCTTCATCATCCGAGTACTGCTGGTGCTGCCGGACTGGCACCCGACTGCGACCCACTCCGGCTGCAAGGTCTTCCTCTTCCTGCAAAACCCCCCTGGTGACAGCCTGCCGGCCATGGGGCAGAGTGACCACCCCAGAGGCCTCGGGAGGAGCATCCCAGCAGTGTCCTCAGCCCTCCCGCGTTAGGCAACGCCACGTCAGCGGGCACAGGGGGAGCCAGGCTCTGTCCTTCTCCCCTTCCCTTTCCCCATGCCCCCTGGCTCAGACCCCCAACCCTCCCACAGCTTCTGGCTCATGTTCAAGCTAAGCTCTCCTGCCAGGTTAGTTTTCTCACCACCCAGCCTGGGTGGCACAAGGAGAAACTCACTGCCAGGCCGGGGAGGGGGTGGGTGGCCATCAGCAAAACCTCCTGGCAGTGGGGGGCTGGAAGCAGGCAGCTCAGCTGCAGCCGGGCACACCGCTGCCCGGGGCCCCTGCCTACCTGCATGGGGGATTTGGCGTAATTGTGGTTATCCAGGAAGGCCGGCAGCCTCTGCACGATGGGGTTGGGGTTTGCCGGAGGCGCCCCGTTCATACTGCTCACGGATGGCTTTGCCACCGGTTTGCATTTGCTGGGGGGGCTCTGCGTGGCTGCAGCGTGACCCTGGCCGGCGGGCTCGTCGCTGCTGTCTGCAACACAAGCACAGGGCAGCCTTTCACCACCAGCAGGGCCACCCTTTGTTTGACGTCCCCTGCCATCCAGGCCCTTCCCACCCCACAGAACAGAGGGGCTCTTATGTTCCACGAGACCCAGGGTATCACACCCATTTTCTGTTGCACCTCCCACTGCCCCATAATTAAGCCCTTCCTTTCTGAAGCTCTCCATCCCTCCCACACTCCGGCCAGGCACAGGGGCATTTAAGGCACCTGGTCAGGCCCACCCCAGGACACTGTACCAAGATGGGCTTAGAGAGGAAAAAAATAACCTGAAGCCAACCACAGCTGTCTCGAGCTCCGAGTCAGTCAGCAGCTGCTCCCAGCCAGCTGTGCCAGGGCAGCTGGCAACCCTGCTGGAGTGAGGGCTGTTACCTGGATGGGTGCTCTCTGGGGCTGCCATCTTGCTGCTGGCCGGCTTGGACTCTTCAGAAGGCTGAGACTCCTGGGGCTTCTGAGTCTGGATCAGTTCAGGCTGAGTTACTCGGATAAGCTTGAAGGCAAAACACAAGCAGAAACTGGGAGCTGGAGCGGGGAGCCCCCCGCCACACGCCGCTATCTGGGGCGCTGCAGAAGGAGAACGGGCAAGGCTACGCCAGGCTCCAGGCCCCTCTCAGCTCTCTGCAGACTATCTGACACTATCAGCAGAGCAGACAACCTCCCGGGTGAACATGACAGGCCAGAGAGCAAGAGAGTTCAGTGCTCTGCAGGGCTAACAGTGTGGGAATGGGATCAAAGGCAAAGGGAGGCCAGGCCTCCCCGTCCCAGAAGACATCCCCCAAAGCAGCAAGTCTGCCTGGGTCAAAACAATACAAGGAGATGCCCTGAGAGCAGAGCCTGTTGGTGCTCGAGGCCGGCTGCCGCGGGCCCGCGCTGTCCCACCTGCTGCAGCGCCTCCAGCACCGTCTGGCGGTTCATCTTCAGGATGTGCAGCTTGGACTCGTACTTCATCCTGCGGTCGGGCACCACCGCCATCAGGTTGAAGCGGATGTCGTGGTAGGGCTCCCTGCAGAGAGGCGCAGCAGGCATGAGCCACACGACGTGGCTGTCCCCAGCAAGGCCACCAACAGGCTGCTGGCCACAGCACAGCACTGCGAGCAGCTTCCAGCCTGCTCTGCCCCTGTGTTCAACCCCAACACATGGCAGGTGTTTCCCTCCAAAGGAAATCAGTGTCACATCAGCTCAAGCAGCAGAGCAAGGTCATTTCAGCCCCAATGGCAAAGATGCCTGAAAACACCAACTGAATAGTAGGGCTATAGACAGCATGGCATCATGGAAATGAGTAATCTGGGGAGATTCAAACATAACTTTTCTGGAAGGGGGTGCATTTGTGTCCCTCCCAAGCAACATTCTCCATCCCCATTTCCACCATTCTGTACATAGTGACTGAGCAGAAACGCTTCAGGGGACATGGGGACAAGCCAGTCCCCATGCAGCACGGCCCGGGACCTTACCCTGCAGTGGCCAGGCCGATCCGTTCCATGATTACTCTCCTGGCTTTGTCTGTCCATTCTTCGTCATCAGCCCAAGGCCCTGTAAAAAGGTAGAGCTGGAATTAGCAAAGCAGGACAAAGCTGCGTCCTCAGACCTGCAGAGCAGCAAGGAGCAGGGCTCCTGTCATTCCCACTGTGTTCTCATGGCTCCCTCGTGTACCAGGGCACTGACAGGAGACCATGGTTGGGAGCACATTACCCCACCAGTGAGATCCATGCGGCTGCATCTTGGTCCCAAGTGCAATCCAAGAAATCCGAATGTATTTGGCGAGTATTTTACCAAAAGTCCTAATACATAGAGGCAAAGTCCTTGCACAGATAAGCAAGTGTTTGAAGCAGTAGAGTTGTAAGAGGACAGAGTAATCAGAGCAGTCCTGCTGGGATCTGTTTTGGGGACTTTGCCTTGACATACAGGGGTTATCTGGCAAAAGGAAAGGGCAAGGAAGAGACAACTTATGCTTGCAACACCAAGTTACTCTGGAGAGGAAAAACAAAAGCCAATTCTGGAGACCTATGGAAGGACCTTGTGACCCCTGGACAGGAAAACAACAAGGCTGGAAAAATCAATGTAACGGATTTAGAAACAATCATGTTTTCTATACATAATCCTCAGTGACAGGTTCCCAGTGAGCTATTAAAACTTAACACAAATCAAGGAGTCACTGGAGTGATTCTCCAAGAACACCCGCTAACACTTAAGGGCAATGAAGACAACACTCACTGGCACTCTTGGAACTGGGAGAAGGAGAGAAAAGACAAACCAGAATGTCCTGTGCTGATGAGCAGGGTCACACGGCCCTTAGCCTCTTACCGTGGTCAATGGGATAAACCTTGAGGCCGTCCAGCTCAAACAGACGTCCCTTGATGGGGACATAGCTGACAAAGTGAAATGCCTCCATGGTTCGCACGGCGCTGATCCCGTTCTGCTTTTCCGGCAGGTGCCGTGGCTCCGGCCTGGGAGGGCAGGAGGGCCAGGAGGTGAGTATGGAGCCTCCCCCAGCACAGACCAGCTGCAGGAGACACCTCCACTCACCTGGCATGGCTGTTGTGGGCCTTGGCCAGCTCCGGGGCGTTCCCGATGGCATAGCCTTTGCTCTGCAGCAGACAGAGAGCAAGGGGGGAGAATAAGCAGCAAAATATTTCAGCTGAGCAGCTCCCTGCTGCCTCACCCACACACAGGGTGTTAAGAGCAACTTTCACGCACACCTTGCGTTCTACTGATCTACAGGTAACAACCCAGGATGGAAAGGGCACACAACTTCTGCTAAAGAGAAGGGAGGGATTAGTGCGAGAGAAGCAGACTGAAAAGATGTGTCTGAAGGCAGGAGAGACATCTGATCACAACGTTAATATATCTGGACTAGGGAAAAGTGTGAGAGAAAGCTGAAAGCTGGGCCTGGCACAAGGGGACAGAGGCCCTAAATGAGGCAAGGTGAGAAGAGCAGAGTGTCTGGGAAGACTGATCAGGCCACGAGGGGAGTAGGAGACACAGGCCAAGCCCGAGCACACTCTCCTGCACTCCTCCCCCCTACCTCAGGGCTGAATCCTTTGGTGAAATCCTTCATGCGGCTCAGCGTGGGGCCCAGGTCGACATTGTTGCAGTTCAGGAGGACACTCAGCAGGGCATGCGTGGCACAGGAATTGGGAATGAGCTGGAGGTTGACAAAAAACCACCTTAACAGGAACAAGTCTTTCAAGAGACCCCCACAGCTAACAATAATCAGCTGCACAGTAGTGATGCAAGAGACAGCAGCGACTTATCCAACTCCTCACTCCCAAAGAAGGGGACACAAAGAGAGCCCAGTTGCAACAGCGACAAGGCCAGACTGCTCAGTGCACTGGCTGCCTCTCTGCACAGTGCTGGGATGTATGAGGGGCTTCCTAGTCCTGCTCACATCACAACACGGCCCCCCGTAGCCCCATGAGATCCAGTAGTGCCAGGGTGCCCTGGAGAGCTGCCTGCCTTTGCAGCCAGGCTTAGGGAGGCACAGGAGGGAAGCAGTGTCCCCACCTGTGCTGGCTGTGTCCCCTCTCCCAGGGGGATGTCACACACATCTCCTGCTCACTGGTCCCCACTGCCAGACTGGCAGCTCTTCCTTTCTTCACTAAAGGATGTGACAACAAAGCAGAAGAGCTCTTGCCATCAGCTCTCCCTCCCTGCAGTGTTACAAGAGATAACCCCCCCTTTCTTCCCTCGCCTCCGAACTTACCTGGTGAGCAAAGAACATGTTATTAACGATGTCATCGTCAATCACCGACGTCTCATCCACCAGGGTGGAGACCTTCCGGCGGGATCTGCGCTCCTCGATCCACTTGAACAGGAAGATGAACCCGTACACAGGCCTGCAGGGAGAAGTCAGCACCTGAACCACTTTGGAGACGCGCGTGACCACCCTGCAGCACCCTTCTCCACTTAATTTTGTCCCAGGGCCAACCTGTCACCTGAGCCTGCAGTGCCAGCAGGAGCAAGCCATTACCAAAGCAAGGGCAGGAGATCCCCTGCCTGCCTCAGCCTCCTAAAGCACTCCTAGTTTAGAGCTGGCAGCACTGACTTGGGGACCGACAGGTTCACAGGGACATGGCAAAATGAGTCCCCAGACACAGAGACACATTTTGCTTAGTGAAAAATATCAAACTTTCAAATTGGCTACTTACCCTTGGCATTTGCTCTGCAGATCATAGATCTCTTCAACCTGCACCCCCTTGACCCCTGCAAATAAAGGGTAGAATGTGGTGTAGAACCCCTAACAGCAAAGGCTAGAGATAAAGCCAAGCATGAAAGCAACTTCTCAAGAGGGTTTCTCACACTCACCAAAATCTTCAACCAATAGTGTGAAGAGACCTGGAAGGGAACAGAATGCAGAGATCATTTCTGGCTGCAGAGCAGGCAGGAAACCTGCTGCACTGCAGGCAGTGGGGCCCCTTAAATGCTTGGGACAACGTAAAGCAAAACCTCTCCTTGCACCCTTGTCCTCAGAGACCCTCTTAAGCTGAGCTCCTGCTTCAGCCTCGCGACTTGCCAAGAGCAGAGCTCCTAAGTGACGCTC